ATATCAATGAAAAAAAAGAAAGATTGAATACAATAGTTGAATAACAATGACTCATAAATCTAATCATGAAGATTTTGTTCAGACATCGAAGAGGTAGACTAGGATATCTTGGAGAAGCTCAACACACACATGTTGTACATAATTAAAAAGTTTTATTAAAAACTGATGAAGTCTGTTCAATAAAGCTACTTCTCTCATGATGGCTTTTCGTCAGTTGTTTATTCATGTTTTTTCTTCTGAGTAGGCGAAGGGTTGTTTTCGAAAAAGTAAACATGTAGTATGAGGTGTCATAGCTACGAATTTCGAAAGAGCGAAATAAAGCTTTTGAAGGGTACGATCTGTATGCTGGATAAATTATTGGTTTTTGCATTAAAAAAAATAACGTATATTTGGCTTAATTTGAATTCAGGTGTCAATCATTTAAAGTAGACATTGTCATGTATAACATCATCCAAATAATATCCGATCGGGACTGGGTGCGGATGTGGGGTGGCCAGGGTCTGGCTATAGGTGTGGGTGTGGGTGTGGGTGTATGGATGTGGGTGTGTGGGTATGGGTGTATGGATGTGGGTGTGCGGGTGTGGGTGGCTTTGGGTGTCTTGGAGAGGTCCAACACTCACATCCACATCCACACCCACACACAAACACAAAAGCTGACATAAGTTGGTATCAACTTCACACCGGCTTATGCCGGCGTTTGCAAGTTACCGATGAATCGGTTATATTCCTCTTGTGGTATGCATTGCTTTGCTGACAGGTCAATCTATTATCAACAGCTGTATTGATTCCCTCGTCAATAAAAAAGCTATGAAACGAAAAACGAGAGAAATAACATTTTCTCTCTATTCGCTGAAAATCGCATTTCGTCACTGATAACATTAATGTTGTGTGCTGACAAGCCATGAGAAAAAAATCGATAAGAAACATCTGCATTAGTTATAAGTTCGTTCAGCACGAATAAATAGCAAGGTTGAAATTACAGTACAGCACGCTTAAGTTATCTTTCATCTCAATATGGCTGGCAGTAAGCTTTTTATTTTTAAGACTTCATTTTGACATTATTGTATATACTAGATCAATTGCTTGTGATGTTACTGACCGTGGTCGTAGTCTTGACTGATGGAAAGATGGTAGAACCTTCCATCGCTCACACAGTGTTTTTGCCTCAAGTATTCGACCCTTTTTACGACGATTATACCAGGATGATTACACGATTGAGTGTAGACGAATTGCAACGATTACCTCAACTGAGTGACGAGGAATTGCTCGAGCAAATCGCGCGAGGAATGGATACTATTCCAAGTAAGAAAGACTATTTAGACAACAATGAGAGCAATGTAGAGATAATTTCATTTGATTCTCAGATGGAACTTGATAGAGTCAGAAGTGTGATTGCGAGTAGGTTTCATCTTATTTTGAATGCTGGTCTGATATCATTCAGAATTGAAGTGGTTAGAGCATTATCATATCGGACTGGAATGATCAGAATAAGAGATTGGTGGATGTTGTTCTGTCGAGATGAGTGAAGGACTACAACCGACAGCGAGTAAGACCAAATGACTACTGATTTTTATTTTCTCTCATTGAGTGCAACGCTCTAATCATCCTCACGAAACAATTTCGAAAATTTCTAATCGGTACAAATTACTCTTATATCGGCAAATATTCGTGAAAAATCAACAAAGCACGCGCAAAAATTGATCAATACAGCCGTTAGGGAGTTGTGATATGATCTTTTCTATCTCTTTACCCGTTAACAATAACCTGAGTCTAAGTCCTAGAAATGCTCTGCCTTTGTTTGTATTTGAGCAGAAGAGAAAACACGTTGAAATATGTTGAAGAAAGAAAAATGAAAACTAACGTTTTTTGATTATATATATCGGAGACACAGCATTGCGAGCATAATTAGTGAACCTTGGACCAGTGGTCCATCGATCTCTTTTGGAGTCGGTTCAGAATCTCTATTAGTCGACAGATCAGTTAGCCTATGATTGGGTCAGTTTCAACCGCCCAGACCGATACTGATCAAATACATTGAAAGATACGATTGATTTCATTTGTGTGGATCAGTAAAAGTCTATCTCCAACTTCAGAAATGGATTTGAAGCGTTATTATGAAGACAAAATGCAACGCGTACCGTCTGCGAGATCTCCCACCAGTTTCATCTCATCTTTTTTACTGGAATTAATCGTTTTTATGTTAAATCAGTAGAATAAACGAATAAATTTCAATAGTTCATCAATGATGTAACCGCCCATGATGGGTCAGTATGAAAGCTTGATGGAATCCGATCCAACCAGTGTGCTGACATATCGACGAAAGTAGTACCAGTATGCCGGTCGATTTCAATCTTGGCATGGATAATTTTGGCTCTTACGATTTTAATCTCTCTCTTTCAGTTCTGCTCTCGTTCACTTTCGTAGTATCAGAGAGAAAGAAGAGTTTTGAGTCAATCTGCCCTCTTCCCTCTTCTCAAATATAAAGACGCTCTCTTATATGCTGTCTTAGTATATGCGCACTTTTTTTTGGTAACCTTCTATCGGAGATCAATTTTGAGGCTCATTGTTAATTGAAAAAATTATAGTGTTCCTCATAAAATTCTGAATTTTAATTTTTCTGAAGCACGAATAGATATGAGCGATGAAGTACATAGCAAGAAAACTGATTCTCTTCTACTCTCCTCTTCTTTCCCTTAGACCTACTCCACAGATCGTGAGCGAACTTCCGATATTTTTGTCTATCTACTCGTTGTAGACAATGATTGACATGGTGATGGGTTTTGTTCGGCAATATAATCACTCCACCATATTTCACATTTCAATTCAGTAAAGATAATGTTGAATGCTTTTTTGAATTTCGAAACTCTAAAGCCAAAAGGCTTTTAAAAACCGAGAGCTACAGCCAAGTCCAAGGAAAATGTCGAAACCCAAAGCTTGTTTTCCCTTTATCAGTGATGTGTTGTGACATGAGCGCCATATTTGAGCCTGTTCAGGGCTATGCTGATCAAATTTTTAATCTGCTTCGCAAACACTAATTACAGAGCGTCAATGAATAGCATAGTCTTTCTTTCAATACTAGAATCTCTCTTGTTCTCTAGGAAACTTGAATCGTGCCATTACAAGCAATCTGTTTGATGCCAAGATTGATGAGGAAATACAATATTTACCAAACATCGATTACGAATGGGAAGATATGATGATTGGAGGTCCTCTTAGTATCAATTACATGGGCTCTGTGATGGCTATTGCAAGCAAAAAAGACTTTCCATTCGTAGCTGGTTTCAACCACACCTACATGAAATATCCAACCTCATTTCGCGCTACCCTCGTGCAAGTGATGAATGGCATGCACAAAGCATTACTTGGAGCTCACACGGGTATGGATCGAATTCAAGCAAACATGCGACAAATTCCAAAATCATTGAGAACGGTCCTCATACTTATAACGCAAGCTAAACCATCTATGATTAAGTCAATGTTACCTACACATTTGTTGAATATCGGTCATTATGCCAATGACAGTGCTTCAATTGCTCGAGCTACATTAAGCCGATTCGAAGATCTTCAGGATCTTCTTAGAGAAATTTTTGAATTCACCACATTGACAGATCAAAAAAATAGGGAAGTAGCGGAACAACTACAAGCTGAAACTGAAGAAATAATGCGAAACCAAACGCAGATTGATGAGGTCATGAGTAATCTGGCAGCAGAATATAAAAGTGCTCGACAAAGATTAGAGAAAGCGCAACAAGATTATCATAGAGCCATGATGAATGTTCCAGGTGGCCAATGGAATGATTACGCTTGGCAAGTCTATGCCGCGAACCGCCCTGCAAAGTCATGTAGTGGTTGGTGGATTTTTAGTCGATGTAGTTCGCTTCGTGAACAACAATTTCACGAATATACTCAGGAAGCGAAGAGGAAAGCTGAAGAAACTCTGGTATGTTGCACAATCATTTGCGAGAGTATTCCATCTCTTTTCTCTTTAGCAAATCCTTAAAGAAGCAGAGGACTATAGCAAAGAACTTTTTAATAAGCAATTGAGTCGACAAAACGAAATGGCCATAGCCATCAATCATTTGGCAACATTAAACTTAGCAGAAATGTCAAATAACGAAATAATCAAGATTCTTATCGATGCAGCTCAACAAATTGCCAAAGTGCAAGAACAATGGAGTCGTATCACTCGATTCTTCAGTAAACTTGCCATGGAAACAGAAAATACGCAGAATGTAAGTAAAGAATTAGAAGTGAAGCTGTTGTTACTTGTTGACAGTAATAATGTGGTAAATGACTTCTTTTTGTGAATTGAGGTAATCCTGGAAAATTTCCTTGGTATCATCGCCGATTCGGAGATGACTGGCAAACCACTTGAGCCAACAGATAAGATGCTTTATGTTACATTATTGATGGAATCAGCAACAGATATCGATCGAGACTCTCATCTACTGTTTCTTCTGGCTAAGACTTATACAGATGTGTCTAATGAGTACATGATTGATCAAGTCGCTGGATTTATTGGTTTTGTCTTTTTGCAAACAGATGCCGAACGAGACAACCACTTGAAAGAAATGATCAACAAGACGGTATCAACATCGAATCGAATCAAGGAGCTTGCAACTGAACGACAGACAAAATATTCATTGACAAGTTTAGCTCGCCAACAACAATACACAGAATTTGTCAAAGAAGTAGATCTACACGAAGCAATTGATATTCTTAGTGGCATTGGAGTTGGTAAACGTCGATAAGAGGAAAGTGAGAATATATGCTTGTCACAGTATAACAACTCAGAAATTGAAACATAAGAACTGCGTTTTACACTGATGGTGTAGAGAATATTCAGTTCTTCAGTTATTTATTTCAATAAAAACTTCTAGTGGTGTTTCATATGCCACATTTTCTTTTATCTTTTTTTTCAATGCATCTTTAAGCCAGATAGAAATGAACCAGTTGGATCTAATGGGATTCCCAAAAGATCGGCAGATTCCAATACATGAGTCATAATTATGTGAGGGTGAATGGATGAGGATGAACAGTTAGGTGTGGGTATAGATTTTCTATTCACCTACAGGAACATTCGCATCAGTGCACACTCACTGATCCATTCGCAGGTGTAGCCGAACTCAGAGCAATGCGGTGGAATCCGTTGGAAAATCATTTGTGATAAAAGTTGTGTACGATTTGCTACCGAAAATGTCAGAACTTCTGTTAACACATTCGCAGCGATGGAGACCATCGGTGGGTGCCAGTCAATTTTGACAAGAAACTTGGTAGAGAAAGGCTTTCTTTCTCTTTTTTTTCGATAGAAATTTATTTCTTATTGTCGTCTGCTTTGCTTTTGCTTTCTTAAAAATCATTCATTGCATAACGTTATGCTTCTCGTTAAAACCATCAAGACAAAGAAAATTGTCACAATTAGGACAGAAGGTTTTTATTTTCTTTACTGTCTCACGCTCGCTTCTCTTAATTGTTGTTTGCTGCCGAATGGCTTCTTGATTGTTATCTCGGACCAAGTTTCAGCTTCTCGACTAGCATATCAATGACTAAAGATCGTACAAGATTTTCATAAAACGACAGAATGGTCATGCCGTTTTGGCATAATTTTCCTTGTAAATCTAATAGCTAGTATCGGTTAGCTTCGCAAATCATCAGACTAATAATTTCGTCAGTG